TTTTGCCACAACCTACCGAAAGTCAACATGATTGTTTGGAAGTAATGGATGAAGTATTTTCAAGTAGACCAGATCTTCGTGATTTTCCCATCCAGAACCCTGATGTTCAATATTACACCGACGGCAGTAGTTATGTAAAAGAAGGGATCCGCTATGCAGGATATGCAGTAACAACGATAGACAAGGTGATAGAAGCTCGGCCACTGGCAAAAGGAACATCAGCATAAAAGGCAGAATTGATAGCACTGACACGAGCGTTACAATTGGCTGAAGGTTTAAGAGTGAACATCTACACGGACTCCAAGTATGCGTTTTTAACCACTCATGCCCACGGAGCTTTGTATAAAGAAAGAGGACTATTGAATTCAGAAGGCAAAGAAACCAAATACGCAGCTGAGATCCTACAACTATTGGAAGCAGTGTGGGAGCCGAAAGAAGTCGGTATTATACATTGTCGGGCGCATCTGAGAGGAGATGGTGATGTAACCAAAGGGAATCGGATGGCAGATAGTGCAGCTAAGCGTGCTGCTGAATCAGGAAGACAGGAATAAGTGGGGCATATAGCTGCTCTTATACCAACTCCACTGTCTCAATGGACTCCAATTTATACAGCTCAAGAAGAGGAGTGGTTAAGGACTGAACCTGGAAAGTATTTGGAGAACAAATGGTAACAGTTAGAAGATGGAAGAATAGTTATTCCAGCATCACTAGCGGTAGAAATTGTCCAAAACTATCATAACGGGACACATTCTGGGAGAGACAGTACAGAAGAATCTCTCAGAAAACATTTCTACATACCAAGATTGTCCAACTTGACTCAGGCCATTGTATGTAGATGTGTAACGTGTGCTAAAAATAATGCAAGACAAGGACCAGTAAAGCCACCAGGAGTCCAGTTTATGGGGGAACTTCCCATGTCCGATTTACAAATTGACTATACAGTGATGCCTAAATCGGGTGGACATCGCTACCTTCTGGTAGTGGTGTGCACCTATTCAGGCTGGGTAGAAGCATGTCCTACTTGTACAGAGAAAGCAGGAGAAGTCGTGAGATTCCTGCTACGAGAAATAATACCCCGATATGGACTACCCTGCTCTATAGGATCGGACAATGGTCCAGCTTTTGTTCATCAGTGCCTACAACAATTGACTCATATGTTTGGTATAAAGTGGAGGCTTCATACGGCATATAGACCCCAGAGTTCTGGTAAGGTAGAGAGAATGAATAGAACTATTAAGAATCAGTTGGCTAAAATGTGTCAGGAAACCCAACTTAAGTGGAACGCTCTCTTGCCCATAGCTCTATTGCGAATCCGTAGTACACCTACCAGAAGGATGGGCCTCTCTCCTTTTGAAATCATGTACGGGCGACCACCTCCCGTGCTTGGTAACTTAAGGGGGGATTTGAGTCAGTTGGGAGAAGGAATTACCCGGCAGCAGGTTGTGGAGTTGGGTAAGACCATGGAGGAGGTACAGAAATGGGTACAAGATAGATTACCTGTGAATATTTATCCCCCAATTCATAGTTACCACCCAGGCGACCAAGTGTGGATTAAAGAGTGAAATAATGTGCCGTTAGGGCCCAAGTGGAGAGGTCCTTATGTTGTTCTTCTGTCTACCCCTACAGCGATAAAAGTAGCCGAAGTGGCTCCGTGGATACATCACTCTAGGGTTAAACCAGCAGCAGCCGATTCCTGGCAAGTTACAGCAAATCCAGAGAATCCCTGCAAAATCCGGTTAAAACGCACGACTCCGTCGGAGTGACGAGGAACCTTGTGGATCACAAATTTTATTGTTTCAGAGACTTGGTAAGTGAGTGAGAAGGCCATAATAAAGCCTGTCCACTCACCAACGAGTGTATAAGTCAGGGAAAGTCTTGATGGGACCCCTGTGAAGACGAGCAGAACTCCATTCCCTGCAGTCCTTACATCCTGGAAGCTGAGGTGCCTTCGCACGGACGAAGACTGAGGATGATGACGAAAGATGTATTTTTAATAATGTTTATTTATGTGTATTTTTATATTCAGGAAGGTAGAGGTACCGACACTCCTAGCTGTGAGGTATGCATTAAGACTACAAGAACAGGTAACCATATATCCCAGACCCTAATTTGGCATTCGCAATATGAGTGTAAAGGAGATGTATCAAGATGTAGATACCTAAATATAGAATATAGTGTGTGTCATTTAGGAGTAGGAGAACCTAAGTGCTTCAGTCCTGAGTATCAACCCCGTACAATTTGGTTGACTCTCAGAAATGGAGATCCTCAGGGAACCCTAATTAATAAGACGGTATTAGAATCCGTATATTCTTCAGGTGCTCTGCTATTTGATGCGTGTAAAGCAATATCAAGTGGTAGAAAGCCGTGGAATATATGTGGGGATCTTAGATGGGAGAGGACGTATGGGTCTAACGATAAATATATTTGTCCCAGTAGTAAAAATAGATATGCAAGTCCAAGATGTCCAAATAGAGATTATAACTTCTGCCCATATTGGTCTTGTGTGGGGTGGGCGACTTGGGGACAGACAGTAGACAAGGACATGATTGTGACTAAGTTGCCTATTGATCCATATTGTAAGTCTATGGAATGCAATCCAATCCATATACTTATAAATAACCCTGACAAGTTCTTAGATAAATATGGCAATTTATTTGGGTTTCAAATATATGGGACGGGTTTAGACCCTGGGACAATATTGTTTATAGGGATAGAGACTGATACGGTAACCTCCCAAACTCATCAAGTATACCATTCCTTTTATGAAGAGATGAGTATAGATAATAAGATCCCCCATAATGCTAAAAACTTGTTCATTGATTTAGCCGAGAGTATTGCCGGTAGTCTTAATGTTACCAACTGCTATGTGTGTGGAGGTACTAACATGGGAGACCAATGGCCTTGGGAAGCAAAGGAGGTAATGTCCGGTTCTGAGGCAGTTGACCAATTAATATCTACACAAGCCGACTATCACATGAGTGTTAGAGGTAAATCTGAGTGGAGATTGAAGACCTCCATCATAGGTTATGTTTGCATAGCGAGGAAAGGAATGATGTATAATACTTCTGTAGGAGAATTAACTTGTCTAGGGCAAAAAGCTTATGATGATGATACAAAGAATAAAACTTGGTGGTCGGCTTCAAATGTCTCAGAACCATCTAACCCGTTTGCAAGATATGCCAATTTAAAGGACGTATGGTTTGATCTATCCATCACATCTAACTGGAGAGCCCCAGCGAATTTGTACTGGATCTGTGGAAAGAAGGCCTATTCGGAGTTACCACAGGACTGGGAAGGGGCATGTGTGTTGGGTATGTTAAAACCATCCTTCTTCTTGTTGCCTATTGAAACAGGTGAGACTTTAGGTGTTAAAGGGTATGATGTGAATCATAGGAAGAAAAGGGGACCCATAGAGATAGGTGCCTGGGAAGATAATGAATGGCCTCCCCAGCGTATTATAGATTATTATGGGCCAGCCACGTGGGCAGAGGATGGTACCTTTGGTTATAGAACCCCCATTTATATGCTCAACCGCATTATAAGGTTACAGGCGGTGGTTGAGATCATTACTAACGAGACATCACAAGCGCTCAATCTTCTAGCGAAGCATAATACCAGGATGAGGACAGCAGTCTACCAAAATAGATTAGCCTAGGATTATCTTTTGGCAGTAGAGGGAGGTGTATGTGGGAAGTTTAACCTGAGCAATTGCTGTCTTCAAATAGATGATGAAGGGCAAGCAATAGCTGAGCTTACTAGCCATATGGTTAAACTAGCGCATGTGCCTACTCAGGTATGGAAAGGGTACAATCCAAGTAGTTGGTTTGGTAGCTGGTATGAGTGGTTTGGAGGGCTTAAGGCAGTGGTAGGTGGAGTCCCACTGATTTTAATGTTGTGTCTACTCCTGCCGTGTCTTATACCCTTAGTAGTTAGGTCTGTGCAAAGCCTGATAGAAAATATAGCAGAGAGGAAGGCTGCTGCACAGATAATGGCAATTTATAAATATAAGGCTCTAGATCAGGGAGAACTAATGCAGGAAGATGAGTGTTGAAGATTCACATCATAGGATAAGTCTGGTCTGGTTCAAAGGTAACTTGTGGTGTATGCAAACCAAGGTTAAGTGATGCCTCAAGTAATTGTAAAATATCAAGAGGCATCAAAGGGGGGAATGTGGTGGAATCTCGTAAAAATAAATTTAGTAGGCCGAGATTACCACGTGGCATGTGTACGTGCATATGCTGACGTATCGATCAGTTGGTTGCACGAGGCAAGATACGATCAGTAGTGTACGGAGCATGTGCAAGAATACAGGATGTAGTATTCCCCTCCTCCATTGTGCTGGACAAGCCATGTGGTCAAGCAGGAAGTTAATTCTTATTTGTAATGATTGGTCAAGAGAATGTGCGGGTGGAGCTTAATATGGGAGGAGTTATGTGCTTATATAGGAAGCCTGCACTATTGTTCAGGGCTCAGAACTTGCTGTATTTTTGGTGACATTAGTCCCTCTGAGTCCCGATCGGTGATCCAATAAAGAATCTCTTCCTTCCTGAAGAAACCTGTGTCCATCCCTCTGTGCTTTGCTTCCGTCAGTTTCTCCGGTATCAGGGGGGCTACTCTGCCAATGTTTATTTGTGGGTGGGCTGCGAGACTAACTTAGGCACTGACCGACAGAAGGTCAGGTGCCTGGTTAGTCTCCCTCCAAAAGGGGAGATATGTTACAAACTGCCATTTGTAACTGTTATTTTATTTGACAAATTGCCCTGCTTCCCTGTGTTATGGAGAAGCCTAATTGCCAGCCTTCTGCCCCATGACTAGGGACCTAGTGTGTATGGCGATTTGACTGTATTTGTGGGATCTGAGCGCTGTTTGGATATATTGAGCGCTCAGATCCAAGCCATCTGGGGATAGGTTGAATGTGGGGGTTCTGTGCAGTATGATAGGTGTTATGCATTTTTGTGTCTTTTGCTAACATGTGGTTAATGGAGTCTGCCTCTATCCCTGGATAATTGGATTACTTTCCCCATTGTCCAGGATAGAGGGCTCTGTAAATCCGGTTTGGGCCAGAAAACCATGCTGCCAGCTAGGCCCCAAAAGATACTTTTGCTAACTTGTGAACCCCTTGTCTGATTTGTGCCAGTTTGTAATATGTTGCTCCCCTGAATGGATTGATTCTAAATATGTATTTTTATGAAGATTGGATGTGTAGTTTGGAAGTTATAGTACCTGTATAAAAACTGTATTTTTACTGTTCTGTTTTAATTATGTTATGTGTTTATCTGAGGGATGGGAATTTCCCCGAATGTATATTGTTCCGATTGGTTATACTGCTAATTATGTGGGTGTCTCCCTTGCATGGGCAGAATCTCATAAAAGCAGAGTGTGTACCATTAAACATCAGATCTTCTTGACCCTCTAACTTGCAGCCTTGACTCATGTTTGTAGGGGACAGCTATAATCACTACAGGGATTGCTATGCTCTTCATACTCCCTTAGCTACTGAGCTCTTGTAAGAGCTCTTGTTCCTGATCCTGCTTCGCTCTGCAGAAGGAAGAGGTTCACCTACTGGAACCTGGAGCCTGGTCGCGGGTCCAGGGCACAGAGCAGACGGCGAGATACCAGCCCAGCAGCGGTGGTTCGTGGAGTCTGCAGTACTTATGGTGGCTACGCAGTAGTTATGGTGTCTACGGTGCTGATGGTCCTTTGGTGAGCGCTAGGAGCATCCTTTTCTACGGTCCAACTTCCAGCCAGCCTGGAGGCAACCGTAACAGTCTCCAGCTTGTGAAGCTGCATTTCAGGCACTCAAACAAGCTCTTGTGAATGCCCCTGTCCTGGCTGCCCCAGTCCCTAACAAACGTTTTCTCGTCCATACAGATGCTTCCATGTATGGACTGGGGGCTGTGCTGAGCCAGGTCGGGGAAGATGGAGGAGAGCACCCTGTCGCATATCTCAGTAGAAAGCTGTTACCCCAAGAAGTGAGTTATGCGGCAGTGGAGAAGGAGTGTTTGGCCCTGGTGTGGGCATTGAAAAAGTTAAGCCCGTATTTATATGGACAGGAATTTTCCCTGGTGACGGACCACAATCCCCTTGTCTGGCTTAACTGGGTCTCAGGAGACAATGGCAGACTGCTGAGGTGGAGTTTAGCACTACAGCCATATAACTTCACCATCACTTATCGACCCGGTAAGCAGAACGGGAACGCAGATGGATTGTCCAGGCAAACCGACATCCTCACCCCATCTTAGTCCGGTCATCCCCACGTTGACCCGCCAAAGGGTCAAGCCGGGTCTGCCGGAGTGTTCCACAAGGGGGGAGCCGTGTGACAGATTCATCTGTATTGCTGGTTCGTCTGTTTCCCTTTGTTCACGGAATTGCCTGTTCCTATACCCCCGTTCGTGTAATTTGCAAACTACCGATTGAAACTACCGAACGAACGACCACCCAGGAGAGGAGTGTGCTGCTGGTTAACCTCTTGGCCCCAATTAGAACGTTGTGGTTAACCGCAGACACCTCTTCATTCTAACCGTATGCAGGGTGGTCGTTGTTCGTATGCCGACCACGAGGCATTTGAAAACATGCGAATGAACAGCGGTGTTCCACGCGAAACGTATGGAACTATAAACGGACACTTTTTCCTACCGAACATCGCTGAAACTGCCGATCGCCCTTCTTTTTTCGTCAAGACATATGAACACTGGTCCATTCGGGAGTTTGGATGATATGAATGTGTGGCGAAACCAGCCTCGCCACTGTCCACTGGAGGAGCCTGGTTGCTCGCCTGCTCCCTTTAGACTATGGCCCGGCAGTTAAAACCTTTTCTTTTCCCTGCATAGCATATTCATGTCTTTCTGTAGACTGTTAAAGCCATGCTACCACAGATAGCTATGCCATGGAGCCCAGCCGTATACTGAAAGACTGTATGAAAGACTTGATTGAACTGTATTTATGTGATCTGAGCGCCATTCGGTAATAATGTGCACTCAGATCTAAGCTATCTGGGGATATGTAGAATGTCTATGTTTTATGGAATAAATGTAACTGTATGTAATTTTATGTCTTTTATTGTATTGTTACTGCCATGTGGTTAATGAAGTCTTGCCTCTGTCCTGGGAGATAATTGGATTACTTCACAATTATCTCCAGGACAGAGAGGAGGGATTGTGATGTAATTGTGGGTGTGTTTTATGGTTCTCCTGTAAACGATTGGTTGTACTGTGTCCCACCTTGTGGGATGTCCCCTTGCATGGGGACTTGCATAAAAGCCAGTGTGTGGCCATTACAGGGGAGTTCCTGCTTAACCCTCAAAGTGAAGTGTCGTCTCATTATTGGGGGAGGATTTACTGTATGCTGTTAGAGACTGATTGCCAGGAGTGTAAGCCGCTTGGGGGCTTTTCCTGTTCGTCTGCTAGCAGCTATTCGTGTGTCTCCAGTTCGGGAGTTTCGAGTATTCCCTTGGTATGCAGTTCGGGAGTTGGTGAATTTGTGGGTTTGCAGTTCAGGAGATTGGTGCTTGCAGTAGCTGTCTGTGCAGCTGAAAAAGGGGAATATCGCCTAAACGGTTTTTAACCTCTTGTGGGCAAAATGGTCCGTTACAGAATGGACTTAACCCAGATAGTCATCCCATGGAGTCATTCGTATACCAAAAGGACAGTGTGAAAGACTCCATGGTGATTGAACTGTGTGCATTGGGTCTGAGTGCTATTCGGTAGTTATGTGTGCTCAGATCCAGGCTATGTGGGGATATGTTACACAAATCCAATGTATTCAGTATTTCTATAGTTCTGTATTTTTATTAATTTTTAATGTTTCAGGTAAATTGGTGGTTTGCCTCTATCCTTGGAGATAATTGGATTTCTTCCCAATTATCTCCAAGATACAGAGGAGGGAATTACTTGTATAAAGTGGAGTGCTTAAACCGGAGCCACTGTGATTGGCTACTGTACAATATATGTCCCAGTCTTCCATCTGGTCCCCTAGGGGAGTGTCCACCAGGTGGGAGACCTGCATAAATACCGGGCAGGTAGCCCTCATTAAAGCAGATCCTATTTTACCCTCAAGATGGAGCTTAGTCTCGTTATTGGGGGGATTGCTACTGGAATTCTTTCTGTGGCAATCCTTGCCATTTGGACTAAACAGAGACAAAATGGTTTTAAGGGTTGCCTGTATATTTATTATGATTGTATATGTACCTGTTTGTAAATTTCTGGATCCTGTATGTTGTATAGTGATGTACCGAGCGGTTCGCCGGCGAACAGTTCCCGGCGAACATAGCATGTTCGCGTTCGCCACAGCGGGCGAACACATGCGCGATTTGACCCGCCCCCTATTCGTCATCATTGAGTAAACTTTGACAGACACATTCCAGCCAATTAGCAGCACAGCCTCCCTAGCAGACCCTCCCACCTCCTGGAAGGCATCCATTTTAGATTCATTCTCAAGCTGCATGCTTAGTAAGAGGAGGGAAAGTGTAGCTGCTGTTCATTAGATAGGGAAAAGCATAGCTAGGTTAGGGTTAGGGTATGCTTTTTTTTAATTTATTTTTTCTATGTAATGTAATTGCACTTAGTTGTCTGCCACTGCTGCCAGCTTCTGTGTCAGGCTCACAGTGCCCATTTCCCCAGTCAGTGCCACCAATTACATCTGGTGTCACAATAGCTTGGATTTAAAAACAAAAAACTTTTTTCACTGTTATAGATTGAATAGCGGTCAGTTGTCTGCCACTGCTGCCAGCTTCTGTGTCAGGCTCACAGTGCATACTGTGCCCATTTCCCCAGTCAGTGCCACCAATTACATCTGGTGTCACAATAGCTTGGATTTAAAAACAAAAAACTTTTTCACTGTTATAGATTGAATAGCAGTCAGTTGTCTGCCACTGCTGCCAGCTTCTGTGTCAGGCTCACAGTGCATACTGTGCCCATTTCCACAGTCAGTGCCACCAATTACATCTGGTGTCACAATAGCTTGGATTTAAAAGCAAAAAACTTTTTTCACTGTTATAGATTGAATAGCAGTCAGTTGTCTGCCACTGCTGCCAGCTTCTGTGTCAGGCTCACAGTGCATACTGTGCCCATTTCCCCAGTCAGTGCCACCAATTACATCTGGTGTCACAATAGCTTGGATTTAAAAAAACAAACTTTTTTCACTGTTATAGATTGAATAGCAGTCAGTTGTCTGCCACTGCTGCCAGCTTCTGTGTCAGGCTCACAGTGCATACTGTGCCCATTTCCCCAGTCAGTGCCACCACTTATATCTAGTGTCACAATAGCTTGCATTTAAAAAAAAAACAACCTTTTTTCACTGTTATAGATTGAATAGCAGTCAGTGTCCTTAAAGCGGGTGTGTTACGCTAACAGTGGATACGGTGCCCAGTGCCACCACTTATATCTGGTGTCATAATAGCTGGATTTAAAAACAAAAAACTTTTTTCACTGTTATAGATTGAATAGCAGTCAGTGTCCTTAAAGCGGGTGTGTTACGCTAACAGTGGATACGGTGACCAGTGCCACCACTTAGATCTGGTGACACAATAGCTTGGATTTAAAAACAAAAAACTTTTTTCACTCTTATAGATTGAATAGCAGTTAGTTATCTTCAAGCAGGTGTGTTACGCTAACAGTGGATACGGTGACCAGTGCCAACACTCACTGGTGTCATAATAGCTTGGATTTAAAAACAAAAAACTTTTTTCACTGTTATAGATTGAATAGCAGTCAGTGTCCTTAAAGCGGGTGTGTTACGCTAACAGTGAATACGGTGACCAGTGCCACCACTTAGAGTTTGTGACACAATAGCTTGGATTTAAAAACAAAAAACTTTTTTCACTGTTATAGATTGAATAGCAGTTAGTTATCTTCAAGCAGGTGTGTTACGCTAACATTGGATACGGTGACCAGTGCCACCACTTAGATCTGGTGTCACAATAGCTTGGATTTAAAAACAAAATTTTTTTTTCACTATTATAGATTGAATAGCAGTCAGTGTCCTTAAAGCGGGTGTGTTAAGCTAACAGTGGATACGGTGACCAGTGCCACCACTTAGATCTGGTGTCACAATAGCTTGGATTTAAAAACAAAAAACTTTTTTCACTGTTATAGATTGAATAGCAGTCAGTGTGCTTAAAGCAGGTGTGTTACGCTAACAGTGGATACGGTGACCAGTGCCACCACTTATATCTGGTGTCACAATAGCTTGGATTTAAAAACAAAAAACTTTTTTCACTGTTATAGATTGAATAGCAGTCAGTGTCCTTAAAGCGGGTGTGTTACGCTAACAGTGGATACGGTGACCAGTGCCAACACTTACTGGTGTCATAATAGCTTGGATTTAAAAACAAAAAACTTTTTTCACTGTTATAGATTGAATAGCA